GCAATCGTGCAAGTTAAATATTAGAATGGCATGCTTCTATGGTGATATACTCTCCATGACCGCCCATTGTGCGTGTGTTACAATTTACCTCAAAGTAAAATTGTGACTATGATACAGCATAAAAAGAAATGCTTACAATGCAAGACTTCTTCAGGTCGGATACGAGCGTTGGCGGCGAGGGTTTTGACCTGGAGTGGTCGGTGGAGTGCCTGCCGGACCTGTTCTCCTGCGACTACGCCGCCACCTGCATCGAACAGTCCCGGAAGTGCGACCTGGTCCAGGACTGCAACGACTGGGCGGACGAGGGGGAAGAGTGCTTGGCGCAGGGTCTGGGGGCTTACGCTGCCTTCAGCGCAGGTATGATATTCTTTTTCGCACACATACGTGTACATTAATCTCCAAGCAGATTTTTTATTGATTTTAGACACCATCCAATTCAATGTTTACGTCTTTTTCTTTTACCTCACAGGGTGCCAAAGCGACGTCCAGAACATCGCGGAATCCGGCAACCTGAGTACTCCCAACTACCCTGACTTCTACATCGCCGGGATGGACTGTAGCTGGTCCCTGACCGCGGCTCCTGAGTCGGACGGACGCTACCCCGTCCTCATGGCCAGCTTCACGGGCGACTTCGGCGTCGCCTGCAGCTCAGGGAGCATTCAGGTAATGCTGGAGTCACATTTCCAACGAGGCCCGCGCGGTCTGTCCCGATCTAGACGCCGGGCCGGCGGACGCCGGCTGTCATGATCCTCATAACACTAATTTAGTCAGACATGGACGGTTATATATAGGTCAGGTCGTACAATCGTCGCACGATCGCAAACTGAGGCCATTCTTTGGATACTAGTAGTCGTGCATGTGTCGTGCAAAATTCTGCTGTCGGTGAGTATTCGTTCTATCACAGCCTGTGCTATCTGACAAATCCAGAATCGTTTGACGGCCTACGACGAAGGTGATCTGGAACTGCATTGAGCACCTTGAACTACATATAAATGTGGTGTCTTGTGGCGTAACGGCAGAGTGCTCGACTCGGAAACAAGAGGTCTCGGGTTCGAGTCCTGACATGCCACCGATCTTGTACCCTAGGGAACGGCACTACACACGACTTTCCTCAGTTAACTCTAACAACAGCTGCCTTTTTCCCACGTGTATTGTACTGTTACAATTTCAATAAATGAAAAATAAAATCTCCTCACACTAATTCCACTCTTACAGATCAGAACCACTGACAGCAACGGACAGGTCGCGAGCACGACCAAGTGTGGGGAGCGCGGCGGACCCGTCGCGATCGGCGCGGAGGAGGGACAGACCATGACCCTGACCTTCTCCCCGAGCTCCCAACCCATCGGACACGGCTACATGCTGGAGTGGAGCCTCTGCCCGCCGGATTCCCTGGCGTGTCCGGAGATCGGACAATGTTTCCCTCCGGAAAGCGGAGTGACCACCTGCCCAAGCAGTATGCCTACAACACAGGCGACGGGTAAGTTTTGATCCTGCCATGCCACTTCACTCGGGTGAAAATGAGTACCTAGCTTCGGTTAGGGACATCCCTTGGTTAGGACGTTAAATGGATGTCCCGTGTTTGGGGAGAGCCACACCCCACGCACGTTAAAGAACCCACCACACCTTTCAACATAGAGTAGGGACGTGCCCCTTGGTGCTGGTTTGAAGCTAAGAAATTCCTGTAGGTCCACTAGGAACAAGTAAGACGCCCATCAACATTGGAACGCTATTCATTCCGTCATGTCAGGCTAATGATATAACCTTATCATGTGCATGTGACAATCAGATCTTGCGTTGTTGCAGCGACCGGTGCTGGGGTCAGCTCGGGAAGCGGAGTGACTGGGGGAACTACTCTCCGCAGAAGCTCCACCGTGCGCCCTAACAGCGTCACTACAACGGCCTGGGACAACTCGACAATGTTCACTGAAGGTGGGAGAGAACACTCACCTTATGCGTTATGCATTCAGTGTATTCTGCTCTCTCTCTCTCTCTCTCTCTCTCTCTCTCTCTCCCTCTCTCTCTCTCCCCTCTCTCACTCTCCTCTTCTCTTGGATGTCCATCGTCAGTCGAGACGATCTGCCAAAGTGCTATGAGGTTCTCACGTGCGCAGTACTACGTTCTGCCGACGTGCCCGTCTAACGTACTGTGGTAGACAGCTGTCTGGAGAAAAGATTTAGGGACTGACTTTCCTACTTTCTGTCCGCTCCAGGTCCAGACAACACCATGTGCTACAGTTGCGAGGGAACAGGCCGGGAGTGCATGACGGGAAACGGAATAGGGGGAACTGCCATGGAGTGTCAAGAGGATGAGGCATGCTGGGTAAGTTTAGAATTTGCACATTAGGATTAGAATTCCCAATCCTAACGTTTCATTCGTAATTGATTTTTACTGTTTTAACTTTAGATCTTTTGAGTTTAGTGTCAAGCTTTAATTTCCCTTTGCATTTTACTCTCTAGAACATAAGAGTTTTAACATTTTCCTACCTGCCATTGTTTCGGCAACTAGTCAGCTCGGCCGCGGTCGGATCTCTCGCGGTTATCACACATGCTTCCAAAGTTCGATAGGATAATTCGAACGCGTTTCGGATGCACCGATTTCGAAAATACCGGAATGTTGGAACTAGTTTTTCATTTTTCTTTGCTCATGGACACCAACTTTTCTCAACTTTCGCACATTTCGCATTGAATATTTGTTTTATCGGGTAGGTATGAAATACCGCACGGTGGATTCCGTCTTTCCCTTCAGGTGGAACGGATCGGAGAGGGGCAGAACGTGTCGTACAGGCGGAGCTGCCAGCCGTCCTGCAACGCCTACTGGGAGTACGAGATCTGCATGACAGCCGACGGACAGGACAAGGTAAGGCCCTGCATGGTTGTATCCAGAACCGTGCTCAGGCTCGGCTCTGGATAGTCCAGGGCTCCAGGCATATCCGGAACCGTGCTTTATCCAGAACCATGCTCAGACACGGGTCTGGATAGTCCGTGCGTATCCAGAACCGTGCCTTGGGCAACTGTACGTTCTCGGACACGCGGAGACTACCCAGTAATGTGCCAGATCCTAAGCAGGAATAGAAGTAGAAAGGCACGGCTCTGCATGGGTACGATAGGCCCGCTCACATTCGTCACTGTTACTGGTTTACTGTACATTTATATGATAGGTGTTCCTGGATATTAGCTGGTTCACTAGAACACCTAGCTTCAGTGTACAGTAAACCAGTCATGATTGCTGATGAAGATAACAGACATCAAAACGTCGGTTCTTGTGAAACAACTGGTTGTGAATAAATAACTTTGCTATTCAATCATTTACCAACCTGGTGATTAACCAAATTATTCACGGATATCCTCCATTTTTTCTTACAGGTGTGCAAACTGTGCTGCACGGAGGACAGGTGCAACACTCACGTCCTGACGGGCCACAACGACCCTCGGGCCCCCGCCCTCAGTGGCAACAGCGGTGCCGAGGGGATCCTGGCGTCCCTCGGGCTTGTGTCCGTCCTTGCGCTGGCAGTGTGTGCGGATATTCTGTCACTTATCGCTTAGGCTTAGGTAAAAAAAATGAGTGTTTCCGGTTCACGACCGACCCTAGCAAATACTTCACCCACCGACGCTACTGGCGTGTTCTTTCGTGGGCCGACCCCTAGGCCCTGCAAGTCCATGAAATTTCAAACCCTTTAAAACGCTTTTATTGACGCGTTTTCATAAATATTTGTCCCTTCTACACAAACAAACGTAGGGACTGGTCCTTGGGATATAAATAATTATGACGCGGTTTACTTTGTTAAACTGCATTTTGTTGAATCACTTCAGCCAAAATCTAAAAAAAAGAGAGAATCCCTAGCCCTACCTACCGACCATCGACTAAAACCGGAAACACAGCATTAATTTCTTAGGCCTCACAGCCTTCAAGTGCATGCCCCCTCCCAAAAAACGACGGCTATAGCAGCCAAAGTAGAGTTTAGAGTTTCAGAGTAAAGGAAGTGTTTGGAGGTCGGGTTAGTGAGGAAAGAAGTGCACGAAATTATGACCAGAAGGTCCATAGTAACTATGTGAAAATACGTTATTCATGAATAACTGACAACTGTATTTTTGATATTGATGTGTTGAGCACCATTCACTGATTTGAATGCAGTTCGAAAACACGTTTGAGCGTGTCCTGTTTAGACATCACGACTGTGTGTTAATTTTTTTTTCATGACCTTCCTGGGAACAAGATCATGATTCATGCCCATGAAAATCGTGCTGGAGGGAACTCGTTCCCAGAGATGGCGCGACTGAGAAGGTGTGATGACATTTTGTCTCCCTCTGAGTCTTGAATTAAAAAAACACCAATGTTAAGTTCTGTAACTCGAATAAGTTCTTAG